GAACTGTAGATATAAATTCAAAAGTACTCTTGCTAACCCTTTTGGGGCCTAGTTCCTAGGCCTTTTGTGTATCCATATGCTTTAGCGCTACCGTCCACAGGAAGGATATGAGGTGCACAATAAACTAGCCACTTCGGTGGCAAAATCTTAATTCATTACTGAATACCTGGTTTAAGCTATGTAAAAGTTTCTTAGCATCATGTTGCGCCTAATTACACAGAAAAAAATAATCTGAAACAAGAAACTAAGAAAACTAAGAGCAATCGAAATGGAACAGTATAAAATGAACATGACGGTGTAATTCCAGTACTTAAAATGAAAATGACTGCAAACGAATGACCAAAATGTTCTTTGGTACACGAAATATTACTTTTAATTTGATTATTAAATTTCATGTGTGTGTGTGTGTGTGTGTGTTTATACACACATGCAAGCACACATTAACGCGTGCGCGCGTACACACACGCGTACACACACGCGTACACACACGCGTACACACACGCGTACACACACACACACACACACACACACACACACACACACACACACACACACACCCTAACAATCAGAAAATGCGAGGTATGCGATGTGAAAATTTTCCTCATTACGAGTCATCATTAAGAGCACGAGAGACTAACACAAAAAAAGTATGCAGAAAAAGAATACGATGATTATTAAAGGGATTGTCGAGAGCGAAAACTCGTTTAAAGAATTCCCAAAAGATTTGATCTGTCTTCTCGAAGAAAAAATTCAAAGGCGTAGAACTTCAAATACTGACTTGAAAATAGCTCTCTGCAAATGAAAGGTAGAAAGGAGAACATTCACTTATAAAAACTGAAGATCGAACTCGCTTCTTCTCTTCTCTTAAAAATTGTGTACTCTCCTAGCTGTGCTGCCTGTAGTCGATTCATAGCTCCTGACTCGTCTGCTTAACTCTTATCGCCTGTTTTCTCTCACTGTCCCAGGGCTCGGCCATACCTACTACTCTTGTATCCTTCTCTTTATCCATTCGGTCCCACTTACCACCCTCAGATTGAGAGAACATTAACGTTTCTTTGCGTTTTAAGCTTCCATTTCACATCCTGGTACCTTCTCTCATCTCACACTATCCCTTGATACTACTTAATCCTTTGTTTATTTTGGGTCATGATCATTTTTCACATTTTTCTCTTCTTGTGTAGTTAGGTAATTAGAAAATCCTCACTTTGTACTCCATCACCCTCAGTGTCAAAGTTAATCTTAATGAACCTCTGGATCTTTACTGTAAATGTTTGACCAGGTGGGGATCTCCACGCTCGCACCGCATATTCTAAGATGGGCTGAACGTTTGTTGTATTATAACATCCTAGATTTGCATAATTAACCGAAGTAAATTTTTTATACATATTTTTGTAAATATGCTTGGTGTGAAGTTGACCTGTAGACCTTTCTCCTTAGACGCTGTCTGTAGCGTCTCTCCTCCCAGGTGTGCGATTTTCTCCGTCTCATTTTCATTACTTACCCCTTTCATTACCTTATACTTACCTGCACCACTCACCTGGATCACGAACTCTCGGCCTCTTACATCATCAAACAATATATAAACTGCTCTTTGGCAACGTGAAATAGATAAATAATTTGGGCAATTTGCAATCTGTTCATTAAAATGAAACGCTGAGCTAGCAATTGCCTTGTGCTCACTCTGTATGACAATTATACTTACCCGATGACGAGATGGAGGGGACTGGGGATGAGGGAGGGAGAGAGATGTGGAAAAAGGCAGGAGGGTGAGGGAGAAGAAAGGGGTAAGGGAAGACAGATGGACAGAAGGGGAGAGAATGAAAGGGAACGAGAGGGGGAAGGGGAGAGGGAAAGGGAAGGTGAGGGCAGGAGGGGGGGGGAGAACTAATGAAGGGGAAGAATGGAAAGGAGAAGGGAAAGGATGGAAAGAAGGGGGATGAGGGGAATGAGAAGGGAAAGGTAGGCCTGAAAAGGAATCAAGAGGGAGGGAGGACAATGAAGGAGGTAAGGAGGAACATGCTTGTAATCAATTTCCAGTGTTTAATATTATCAAATACTGCCTTGGGACCTGACCTCGTTGTTGACTGCCTGGTCAATCAATCTGTTTCTGTCAGCAGCCAGCATGCCTGCATACCCTGTTGGGTAATATTCCCGAAGCCTTATATAAGAGTCCATCGATGATTGAACTTCCCTCCCCAACATTCTTGTAAGGGCATCTCTAAGAATAGACAGCGGCAATGTATTCAGCTTCGGAGAAACATTTCAGCTGGCGTTTCGCATGTGCTGCGAGGTTGCAGCATATATAAACATAACTATCCTCAAAGCCTATAATTGTAAAAAAACTGAAATTTTTATATCTTGAAATAAGAGATGCTGTATCCCAAGCCGTGTATCATTAACATTTCTCTATCCTCTACCCGTCCACTGATGCTACAAAAGCGATTCTAAGCTTGTCTTCGGCTAACAAAAAACCGATTAAGGTCCAGCAGGATCATTTCCTCGCCGCCCCCTTTGTTCAACCAGGTCAATAAGAGGACGTCCAGTGAGCACAAAATCTGGTTCTTGGGCGATCAGTAACAGGTGTCAATTTTTGCTAAAGGAAAATCAAGAAAACCGAGGAATGTTGGAATCTAGGCTTCTTCCTAAATCCCTACAAGTTTGACCTAGTAATTTACAACACATCAGTGATCAAGAAACAGTCATCTTGACATCAGTGTTTTACATGGATCCCATCGACAGTACTCTCAAACGTTTTTCTCTTGATACCCAAGACAACAGACTAGATTCTATGAAAAAATCGAAGACCTTAAGAGTGGCCATGATGCCTTCTACCGCATTACTAAACTCCTGGACCTTCCGAAATTACTCTGCTTATTGAGACGTTCTCTCTCCCTCTGGGTCCCTAAACTAAGCATGCAGAAGTACGATGTCCTTAGACTTATGCTAGAAAACGTTCTCCATCATTTTTTGGATGAACTGAGACAGAATCTAGCCACATTTGTAGCCAGACTTGGAGGACTGGTCATATCTTATTACTCATGTTTTCTACCTCTGCGTTGTAGTCTACAACATTAAGAGTAAACTGCACAACCAAGTTTCATTACTCCTATTTGATTGAAAATATTAGGCAGCAAAAATAAATAAAAAAAAAGGCAAATGAAACGTTACTGGTTCTACGTGACTTAAGAAAACCGCGAAACAAACTTTTTCTTCGCAGTTCTTCTGTAGCGGAGAGGCTAGGTAGGCGACATGTAAACACTGTTCCATGCAAAAAAACGGCATTACTGGTAAACTACTGAAACAATCCATCTGCTAGAAAGATGGTGCCAATGAATAAAGACATAGGTATGCCAATAAAATGAAAACTACTACTTACGAGTTGCTTAGGTATAATGGAATCCGCCGGTATCTTTACTTGGCATTTACCTACCAGTGTGATGGTTCCAGAGATAATCGTCCCCATGGCCTACTCTCTGGCCGGGCCTTAAAACAATAGGCGAGTCCACTGAAAGGCTGTGCAGAAAATATCTACATAATACATGCACAAACTATAAAATTCATGATTTGGAACACTATCTGGGATATATATAAAACGCCTACCGTTGTATGTTATACAGATGACAGTGTAACAACTCTCAAATGCAGCCAACGAGAGACTTTCTAATAGCTAATGAAGCTTGAAGTCTTTCAGAATACTAAACAATGATCACCGTATTACTTAAATACTGAATTCTGAGAACTATATGCAATGGCCATATACCTGTTAATAAAAGAGTATATTAAACACAAACTGAGTAATGTAGACAAAGGTGACGACTGGCAGAAAGTATAACCCTTCCGTGTAGTCACATACACTGTGGTCTCATCACCGTACAGTGGCCTTGGACACACGTGCTTCCCTAAACAATCATCCGTCATTTGACGTCACCCGTCTAAGATAATGATGTATGTTGAGAGAAACAATTAATATAAGCAGGAATTAGAGACCTTTAAGTATGAGATGAAGCATTGTTATTTTTGCAAGCATCCACAAATGTAAAGGTTTTTACCCTGACAGCATCGGTGAGGTTGATAATGACCTTAGCGTAAGATGCACACAATTTCCAACACGAGTAAAACAGGCATTATCTATACAATGCATGGTTATAAATCTGCAGTAAAGCCTTGTTCTTGGTTATGACTTTACTGCAATTATAATTTGATGAGTTTCAGTCAGCGCTGGAACGAGAGGTGGTCTGGACCCCCACTAACTGCTCTAAACGGCGAAGTACGAAAATCATTCATAACACTGGCAAAAGAGCTACACTTTTCAACAGCAGTTTACCACGACATTCAGTCGTTGAAAATGTTAGTAAAATTTGTGCGAGCCGAAAATTCGTTATTATTATTTAGTTAGAAAAATGTACAAAAAATCACTTAACCACTATGCGTAGCCCCCTTCCTGGAATAATAATAATTATATTATTATTTGTTATTTAAGGAAATTAAAAGCTGCTACACTTTATTTATTAAGAACTTATGCCTTATGGATTATATTGACATTACACTGGTTGAATAACTGACGCCGTATTGGGAAGGATTTGCATCTGTAAATTTTTAAAGATGCGTGTTCATGTCCAGCAACCTAGAAAGGTAGCGAGTGAACGGGTATTGTTCATTAAATTAAGATAATCCACTGAAACGAGAGATACTTAAAGGTGGACAGAGGTGAGGGTCACTGATACAACGAACGTGTGGTTTCCACGGCTTTACAGTAGACTAGAGACTCCTGCATCAGCAACTGATCAGGGGCAACGAAAAAAAATCAAACACTAAGGTCTTCTTACCCAGATGGCTTGGGATGTTTCATCCCCAATGAATTTGAAGCTTCCCTACATAGCCCCGCCCAAAGAAACGGCAGCATGAGAGAGGTGGCGGGGCAGAGGGGCGGAGGGAGAGGGAAGGGATTCGTAGATGAGAGGTGGTGGTAACCAAGGTCTGAAGAGGAGAGAGAGAGCACCCGAGTATAAAAGGGAGAGCCTTAGAGACTCCGGCATCAGTGCCTTCCACCCGGCCCTCCCTCACGAACCATCACTACCATGGCTCCCCTCAAGGTACTTCTTATTTCCCTCAGTGTTTCGGCTTATCGATATTTATTATATACATCGTGTATATAATTATATATATATATATATATATATATATATATATATATATATATATATATATATATATATATATATACACACACACACACGCACAGAAAATTGGATATTTTGTTTGTGCTTAGTGGATGTGTAACTAGAAAGTGGCACAATGTAATATTTACCCTGAGGTTCTACACGGTGAAAGTTATATTAATTCGTCAACACTGCTGGTGAGGCAAGTGACTATTGTCACCACATACACTCCCACTGCAATGGAGGATAACAGTCGCCCACATACTCCCACAGTACTGGAGGGTAACGCTCACCCATACCCATGTATTTACTTATAACTTACACATTATAAGAATACTTTAACTTGCACCACAATATACAACAATCTTTCTATTCGTAATATTACTTAATTTAAATATATGTCAGCAATTGTTTAATGGTTTATATAGTTTACACATTCATGAAAAACTTAAAATACATTCATATAAATGTTCAACTTAGCCCTTACCCCAGTATTACCAACTTACCAGAAAACATTGAACAAATCACTTACTCCAGCACTTACCAGCAATCATTTACCTCTCCGTTTTACTCCACTATATTACATTAAACATTCAAGCCTTTACTACATTAAACATTCAAACCTATGTACTTTAGAGAGAGACAAACCACTGCACCACTGGAAGTACAAACCAGCACAATCAGCCCCACAAGCACAACTAGGTCATTATCAACGTGTACCTCACACAAGGTTATTCCAACTTGGTTCCAGCTACACATGCATTCTCAATTATCTCAAATTAATTAGTAACCAAGAGTGAAACCATAAAGTCTAACGAGAAGTTCTTGCAATATTTTCTGCATGATGTTTGAAAATAAAATGTTTTTGGAGATCCAAGTTGCTGGCAAAAGAACTTATATAAGAAGAGAGGAACACTGCAGCAGGCCCACTGGCCCATACTTAGCAGTTCTTTGTCAAATCCAAACCTACTAAAAAATATTCGCCCAATCCATTATCAATGTTACCCAAGGAATAAGCTTTGATACCCCTATTAACTCAAGTGCAAGTCCCACTCCAGTCCAACCCCTCTAATAATGTAGACTATCAACTCCGAGCTGCGACAGAGCGACTGTCATATACACTCACGAATAACTTTTACCCTAAATGTCTCGATAAAACTTTTAATGCGCCCTAAAGTCCAATTAGAACGACATTTTAGATCCATTTCTTTGCCTCGAGTTAATGTGGTAACTTTGAGCAGAGAGGAAACATATTACACCTCGACAGGTTTTAATAGGAAGGTTTTTTTCTTTTTAGTTCCCCATCAATATCGGGAAGTGTGAAAAAAATTTACTTTTTGGAATTGAAGCTGGTAAATATTTACACAAATTTATGTAATTTGGCATAATTTCTAGATTTTGTATATAATTTTGACTTCAGAATTATTATAAACTATTTTACTCAAAGAGAAGATCGTGTAGTTTGAAGAATCTGCCATCCCTTCAATCAGATTGTCTCCCTCACCAGCAGACCAACTCTCTTTTACAACAGCAGACCTGCTCTCTTACAACAGCAGACCTCGTCTCCCTCACTAGAAGATCTCGTCTCCCTCACTAGCAGATCTCGTTTCCCTCACTAGCAGATCTTGTCTCCCTCACTAGCAGATCTCTTCTCCCTCACTAGTAGATCTCGTCTCCCTCACTAGCAGATCTCATCTGCCTCTGTAGCATTTCGGCCAAACACCTTTAACAGCCCCACACGCCAGATCACTGCTCTCTCCCCGGCTGACACTGATCCACCAGCAAGTTCCTCGCCATCTGTGCTCTAATCCGCCCTTGCATTGGTTACTTTCTCTTCCGCCTTACTGAAAAACTTAATTTTTAATAATGGTATATGTAAAAAAAAAATTATCACTACAGCCGCTTCCTAACACGGCAACCTGAACTAGAGCCCATATTCGCCACGCACTCCCTAGATGTTACTCCAAATATGTACGGGACATCGCGATACAATCAGCAACCGAACCGCAACAACATCCCGTCTTTCTAGGTGCCGGCACTGTCCCTTCCCGATTTACAAAACCCAAATTCGGCTAGTCAGTTTTTTTTTTTTTAACTCTTTCGTAGATATTTTTTTTACCATACTTAAACCGCACACCAAATCCAATTTCACACATACCTGATGGATACTGTAACCACTGCTTCTCAAAACAACCTTCATTCTTCCCTTCCAAGACATCCCGGAACGTTCCTTTATACCAACTTCCTTCCATCCACTCAACAATTCTACACCTTCAATGATCAACATAGTGTTTTTTTTCTTTTCTAAATAACCATACCACCTTAGCTCCTTTCTCGCACTTTGAATTATGCATTTCGCATTATCACGCTTTGTTGGTTTAATTTCTCAATTCATTTTGTTTGTAATATTTCACACCACTTTCGTTGAAGTCAGACACGACATTTCCACTTCCAACCTCGTCCTCGCTGAAACATTCAAAAAACCAGCTTCACACTAGCAAGTTTTGGCAACACAATTTGTTTATTTGCTATTCTTTTGAAGTTCTCTAACCACCCTAACACACTGCAGCCTGCGAAACTGTCGTACATAACGTCCCTTAACTTACAGCTACCACGGAGTCCATTTCTTAACCTTTTATTGTGGCTTGCATGGAATAGGGAGAGGGATTAGGGTAGGTTGGGAGCCTGGGCCTTCAGCAGATAGGTTCTTCATTATAAAGTAAAAAGAATCTATTACGTGTCTGCCACCGAGTCTCCCAGGGGTTCTGTTTTCCAATACCCTACGAAAATAGAATTTAACAGAAAGAGCAAACTCGATTTTCTGGTTCACACTGAGAGCACCTTAACATGTTTTAGTTCTAGGGCCACAAGGCAAGTGGTGGGTTGTACTGAAGGAGGAAGTCTGAGTGTGGAGGTGATGCTGCTGTGTTTACTTACATGATTTATGACAAATACAGCAGAAGGAGCTCGCAAGTTTTTTGTATTCTGGCGCTGCCTTCTTTACGTTGCACTGTTCTCAATGGGATTTTCGAATCTAGTGTTAGTCTGAACACTTCTTGCGTTGCGTATGCAAGAGTGCATGCATGCACTCGCCGAATTTGTGTTTGCAGGGGTCGAGCTTGACATTTGGCCCCTCGTAATCTTCGTCGAGTGGAACTGCTGGATTCTGGCCTCTTTACGGGTCAGTGCTACAGCCGGGTCTATACACTCACGTCTCCCTTGTTGTTGCAGTTCATAGATACGAACCTACAGCGTCATGTTTTCTGGCCTCTTAAATGCTATAATACCTACTCTCAAAACTGTGTTTGGAGTTTGATTCCACTATTCTCCAGCACACTCAATTAAGCAATAATAAGAGGAACGTCAGGAACTAAAGAGTAATAATGTCAGATTTTACATTTAAGGATTATAGCAGGGTTATCATTGTATGATATAACTGACCGGTCTCAAGAGTCTTCCTCCCACTGCCCGGCTTGGGGTCAGGCTGTTTTAGTGCCTGCCTGGTCAACCACACTGTTGCTGTTGGCTGCCCCCTGGCCAACATATCCATCGCAGCCTGACAGATCTGGCACATAGCAAAGAATACTGATAAGCCGGATAACTAGACCCTTCAAAACTAAGACATTCTCAGACCCTTAGCTCTCTTTAAGGGGGAACTGGATAAGTTTCTCAAATTAATTCCTGATTAGTATGACTGATTCCTAGCATGCCTCTAGCACCAACAGACTAGAAGATCAGGCCATCAGCCATATCTGGACTGGGACCATGACATGGGGGCAGTGACTCCTTTAAACCTTTTAGGTACCCAAGAGCTGGAGGTTAATATCCCCAAACACAAATAGGAAAGTATACATGTATATCTTGATAAATTAGACACATGTGCAACTCTTGGGTATCTTTATTAAGGAAACGTTTCGCCACACAGTGGCTTCATCAGTCCATACACAGGAGAAACTTGAAGAACAGGAGGAGAATGAGGTAATCAGTCCCTCAACCTTGAATCGATGTGGTCAGTCCATCAATCTTGAATAGAATGGAATGGATTGATGGACTGACCACATCGATTCAAGGATGAGGGACTGATTACCTCATTCTCCTCCTGTTCTTCAAGTTTCTCCTGTGTATGGACTGATGAAGCCACTGTGTGGCGAAACGTTTCCTTAATAAAGATACCCAAGAGTTGCACATGTGTCTAATTTATCAACGTGTCGGTTCTGTGAACCATTCATCTACAACCATGTATATCTTGACCAGTCCCACTACAAAATATCCAGACAAGTCTTCCTCAAATCCAAGCCTGTCTCCCCCTCATGCCAGGTGTTGGTTCCCACACAGGTTATCGCTATACTCTTAGTCGTGGCTGCCTTCACGACGGCCGAGACCCCAACTGACCTCTTCCGTCCAATCTACTCCTCACCACCCTACCATGCACTGCCTGCACTCACGCCTGCACCCTACCACCCACCTCGTGTATACAACCCTGAACCTGTCTACAAGCCAGCACCCGTCTACAAAGAGGCAAGTATCAAAATCTGTTTCAAAACTAATGTTAGAGTAAATTATTGTAATTAAATATTCATTATGTCACATCAACATCTATTAACACACACACACACATTACCTACTAGCCTCTTTTTGACGTGTCAATAACTCATTTCTTAATCTCACTACGTTTAGTGGGAATTTCACCCATATTTAGTAGCAATGCACTTGCAACCCAGCCAGAGACCTGACGCCTAGCAACATTACTTCAAATTCCTTCTCTAAGTATCTTTTAGGAAAAGCCTAGCTGCTAGTTTATCTTTTGTCGTACGATTACCATTAGCGGAAGGAGAGTCACACCACTCCTTACGTTGAACGACATACATGGATTTAGCCCTTAGTGTAAATATAACTGCTAATAATAATTTGATTACGTTTCTTTTTTTGGGCTTTTTCGTCTGATAAGGTGGCCAAGCCATACGCCTTCGACTACGGTGTTAAGGATGATTATACAGGAGCCAACTTTGGCCACAGTGAGAACTCTGACGGGAAGGCGGTGAAGGGGTCTTACTCTGTGGCTCTTCCCGACGGCCGCATCCAGACAGTCAACTATGTAGCAGATGAATACAACGGCTACCAGGCTGAGGTGACCTACGAGGGCGAACCCATCTACCCAGAGTACAAGCCTACCTATCAACCTCAGCCAGTATACAAACCTATCCCAAAGCCCTACAACCCACCCAAGACAGTATATAAGCCAGAGCCTGTATATCCCACACCAGCCCCTTACATACCCACCTACCACTCAACGCCAGTGTATCCTATCTACCTTTAAATCTCTCCTTTTTTTTAAACTTTTAAAACCCTCGGCATTCTCAGTAAATGGCCTTCTGCTCGGTGTAGCTTTGGCTTGTAGCTTATATAGTTAACGGTGTTAAGCAATTGTTATTTACGTGAAAAAATAAACCAAACTGTGTATACTATGTGCTTCACATATTAACCCTTAAACTGTCCAAGCAGATCTACGTTCACATGCGTAGTGCTCCAAAAGTAGATCTACTTTTTTTTTTTTTACATATTTTCAAATAAAAAAAAGTATATCAAAGTTTTTTTTACACGTTTTCAAATGTAAAAAAAGGAAAGATCTACTTTTTTTACATACTTTCAAATGTTGAAAAAACGTAGATCTACGTTTGGACAGTTTAAGGGTTAAGCTTTAAGTGATTATCAGGTTACATAATTTATACTGATTATTCACTGACTTCTAAACTGCCTCTACCTGGAACATCTGATATGAATGCTTAACATTCACAAGATTATAGTGCTGAGCATTTCACATTTAAAAAAAAAAATCGGTAGTAATCCTTAATTATATACCGAAATGAATCCCTTTTAAGTCTTCCACACATCTGACAAATCTTTTTTAATCTTCTCATAATTTTAAAACATTTTTTCTCTCTCTCCTTTACTTCCTGCCCACGCCCCTTCCCCCTTATATTCTCTCATTTCCACTTTTCCTAATGCGTTCGTCCCTTCCCCAACCCTCATATTCTTTCTCTCCTCTTCCTAGACTTTCCCCTCCTTCCCTCACCCCTTTTTCCAACATAACACCGACATACCTAACCCGCATCCTAAACCTTTTTTTTTTTCCTATCCAATACATTCATATATTCTAACTCCTACACGTGTTCCTATCTACAGAAAGCAGCTGGTGTCATTATTAGCACGCTTTCAGGTCATTTGCTACATTTTCCTGGTTTGCGAGTTTTTCTCTATTTCCTCTTATTTCATAGCACTAGACTTAATGAAGCAGATAGACTCAGTGGTACATCCATCTCTAAGGACCACCTGGCTGACTTATTCCCACGTTTTACATGCAAGATTCACTATCACATTTACTAGCCAGGTTCACTTGTTACTTGCTTGTCCCTTCCAATGCCTTCTCTTCCCCTTTGCCCTCCCCGATGCCATTCCCATCCACTTTTTCTCCCTTCCCCCTGCTAAAAAAAAAATCCCTGCCCATTCCTGGCTGTACTCGGCTACGGCTGAGAGCTGGCCTTGGGGTGTCATGGATATATCTTAGGTCTTAGCGATCAGGTGCCCCTCAACACGATTACTGACAGTACCTTGAAAAATAGTAGTAATAAATATTTTTGTATCAACAAATTTTAGAAAAAAATAAATCATCATCAAGCTTTAACTATTACATTTTATTGCCTATTCTAAATGAACAAGTTTAAACACAGTATTCATATCTTTATTTTTTTTACGTGATACTTAAATTCTAAACTTCAACATTTGAAATGACGTACCTTTATACCTTGAATGAGTTCCAAGAGTTTTTCTACTCCCGGAACCCGGCCATGGGCCAGGCTCGTCTCGTGCTTGCCTGGGCAACAAAATACGTCACAGACAAGTTATCACATGTACACACTTTCATATACGTCGTATACAGGCTATTAAATATACTGGCCCTTCATCCTAAGTACACAAGGAAAGTCATACACTGGCTCATCCTGTGTACACAAGATACTTTGTACACAGGTCCCTCACACTTCAGATCTCATTACATAAACAAACGTGGCAAAATCTCTCTCTCCCTGCTGCATGGGAAGGGTTGTGATCCTCACAGACACGAGGAAATCAGTATTCTGGGAGGTGGGTCAGGGATTTGGCTGAGCTCTGGGACAGGTGACACTCACTGCCCGTCACTCATCACCGCCCCAATACTTCGTTCGCCAAACCCTCCTCCAATTTTACGCATTTTTGTGCAGGTATCTATTTCATATCCCAAAAGCGGTAATATCGAAAGACATTAAAGGTAAAATATTAAATAGGGAGGATTCTGAATTTGAAAATTGAAATAACTCCTTACGAGAAGTTGCAAAACGTCTAGTACGGTCATTGAAGCTAAAACCTTGGGCTGCTTCAAATTTAGGTTACATAAATAAACGAGTGTGTGGGGTTGGATTTGAGTGGGACTTGCACACGAGTTAAGAGAGTTATCAAAGCTCATTCCTTAGGTAGAACTGAAAATGGATTCGGCAAATATTTTTGCTAGTGGGTTTGGGTTTGATAAGAACGCGCCTAGTATGGGTAAATTGGCATACTGCAGTGTTCCTCCTTTATGTTCTTATGTTAACATATATACAAGAACACTAAAACGAAGGAACACTACAGTAGGCCTACTGACCCATGCTAGGCAGGGCCAATTCTCATCCACTCGTTTAATCTATAAGTTACTCAAAGTTCTCGCCTCAATGCCACTAGCTGGGAATTTGTTTAACTCATCTACAACTCTATTTCCGCGACCGATTTCGAGAATTGTACTCTCGCAGCTTTGCCTGAGGCAGGATGCTGACATCCTTACCAATCAAACTAATGCTACCTGCAAACTGAAGGTCTACATAGCTAACAGCTCTGGCCCTGGGACGAGAAAAAATGTACATTTTGTTTTTCAATCAATACATCTTATGTCTTCTGTAGAACGTTAAAAAGTCGTAGATAACGGATGTAGACTCAAACATAAACGAAACACGTATCCCTTTAATAAATGGACATCTGACATTGCAACACTATACACAACACTGAGAACACAACACTTTGCCCATAATTCATACCAAATGGAAGTCCAAAAACAATCAGCTTGAACAACCCTATCGTGGAAATTACTGCTGAAACTACACTCTAAAAACTGTTGTAACTGTTCATATTTCGGAGAGTTGTATAATTCTTAACGAGAGGATTTTCCACCGCCTTTATTCATACTGAGTACAAATGTGCTCGCGGAAAGCTGGAAACTGATTAGTATGTGATGTAAATGGTTTAGAAATCCGAGCAGTTAAGAATGAGACACTTGCACAATAAAGATTCCTAAATGTTGCACTGACTAGTATAGTTTCCGGAATACAGTAATTATACATAGTGCCAGTTCTTGAAAGCACTGCAAACATCTGGAGTAAGATTGTATATTTGTTTATGTTCTCTCCATAGTACGTGATCAACATGCTGGTAAGCAGACACATTCGGAAAGGATATAGAATTGGACTAAGTACCTGCTTGACCTCATAGGATCAGGGACTCACTGCCCCTGGGGCTGAAGTATCAAAGTCTTTACCATTGGGGCGAAAGCATCAAACGTTTTGTGTGTGGCTAGTTAAGGGTTTAAGCTGGACCAAAACGTCGTCACAAGTTTCGTTTTCTCGAAGAGTTAATATGATAATGATATACAATACCGACAAGTTGATAAGTAAGACTCATGTGCAATAGTTAGGTATCTTTGTTCCGAAACGTTTCGCCTACACAGCAGGCATCTTCAATCGAGTACACAAGAGATAGAAGACACAGCAGAGATGTGAAGACGATTTAATCAGCCCATCAGCCTTGAAGACGTAGTTCTGAGGTGGTCAGTCCCTCCGCCTGGAGAAGAGGTTTGCTCCATAGCCTGGAACAATGTGAAGTTGAAGCAACAATATGGAGACTTATGTACTATCTCAAGAGTTTGGAGTTATTAAGCTCATCGAAATAACTAGACGTTTATAACATATTACTTTCTCAATGAAGTAGAAAATAAAATACCACAACTCAAACTTTTTATAATAATATTTTTGGTAACCGTGACTTACTTAAAATTCAAAATATCACTGGTATTTTAGCATAGAATGATCATATATGCAATGCATTTCGGAGCATAAATCTATCCAAAATTACACGATTCGTAAAGCACAGACCATAGAAAGATTGAACATGAAAAAAGTGACATTAAAATTTCCATGGGGATATCGTGCCATGTGGATGAGCTACTGTAAGAGTATGGTTATCCCCTTAATGATCCCGAGTGTGGAGGCAGCTACTGCACCCAGTGTATCGTTATCTCCTGCAGATAAGCGCCTAAATGATCAGCGCTAAATGCAACAGATAAGAACTTTCCATCCATTCATGTTGTATAAACTCGGAATTTTATTCGTAGTATTAACAAGTTTTACTGCTCACTGCAGTCATTACATACATGTAAGCCTAATATATGTATGAGATCCACCTAATAACGTCAGTTCACCATCTGTAACTCAAAACATTGACTCTGAACACTGAAGGCACACATGAAGAGCATAACACTGTTCAAGCTGCTAAAAATAGTTTGTCACACATACACACAAAAGAGCTGTGACTCAACCCTTAAACCACATGAAGGTGAGTGCGCGAGCGCACAGCACACACACACACACACACACACACACACACACACACACACACACACACACACACACAATACTGCTCACACATTCATGTGTACGCCCTTGCATAATAAGAAGCTTCCTGCTTACCCTGGCTTGATCAGATAGCTATTACTGCTCCACGTATTCCCTGCTGCCTCCATTATTTTTCCCACCTGTCACTCTCAGAGCAAAAACCCTTTGCATGCGCCAACTCTTATTTACAAATGCTCACTATCCTTCGCAAACATCCACCCGAGAGAATTTCCCTTCCCCCTTGTTGTGAGAATAAAGACAATAACATGAATGCCAATCTGCATACTGTAAATTTAAATGGAAATGTGCCTGTGTGTCTGTGTATCATTTAACACTATATCTGAAAAGGAAACGCAATATCTGATGACCGAGTCTTTCTCGTTTGCCAATGTTCAGGCAAAATGGCTCCAAATGGTAATGATAATCGCAGCCGTAATAAACGAACGTATTTCACACGTCAAAATATTTTTTTTGTTTGTCTGCTTCTCTCCGTCAGCAATATTGTGCCCACGATTGCTGACATTACAAATGTTCCCGAAATTATCAGTGCATAAAGTAGAACTTTTATGGAAACATCAGTGCACCCAACACAGCCTAAGACAGTCACTACATAAAACATTTAACTTACTAACAAAATAATCAGAGCTGCAACGCCAAGCGGATATATATCACAGATATCAAATAGCATATAAAAAACAGGGGTTCAGGGATCACTAATATAAAACACCAAGAAACACTCGATTTACCACATGAAGTAACACAAATGTTAATATAAAATCTGTCAACGCTGCCTTGAAACTGGTCATTTTGCCAGTCACGCATCTGTGGATGAATTTTGCTGCGGCCATCCACGGATATGAAGACTACATTTTATTCATTTCTTATTTTCCATTTTCTAAATTTATGGTTCTTCATACTTTTCTTTCCCGTGGCGAAGTGTCAGTATATCTTTAGGACTTTTTCTTCAGATACTTTTATAAAAAATTTCCCGTCTCTTGGCGTATATTTATGTTTGACAACTTCACATTTCTCTTCCAGTTTGTTTACAATTCATTCACTTTTTTCTCAGAATCTCAGAACTTCATTCCGCAATTCTCAATATTTCACGTCTCTAAATCCCTATATTATTTATATTGATATTTAAAACCTAAAACACAAATATATTAACACCTGCTTGATAAGAGACTATAATACTAATTTTGTTTTTCATTAGCTGGTGAAAAAACTAGCTATACTCTGAACCGTCACGAGGATTCACGTTTTGTCTGATAAAGGCGACCCCCACGTTTCCTAACCGGCTTGTAGATGATGTCTTCATATAATTACCTCTCTTAATGATGTCTTGATATCATCTTTTAATATTGACGTTGAACGACATTAGTTCCTCTCAAACCCATTCTATTTTCAACATTTTCCCTGGAAAGAGCCTGGCTGCGAGAGTAGTGTATTTATCTCGTGATGAGAGGACAGAGGATCGAACCGCATTACTTACTGCATTAAATGACTACTCACAGGAATTTACTCTCAATAATAATAAAGGAAGAGAAGCCTCCTCCCTCACTGATTTCGCATTTTCATTTTATTTTGTCTCAAAGCTCAAGTCAAAAAGTCACAAAAGTTTCTTGGTTGCAATGCCATATATTTTACTAAAATTGCTTTTAAATACAACCCTCCATCTTCATTTTCACGTCCCAGGGAGTAAAAGATCTGGTTGTAACAGAGGCAGGGTAAACGGTCAGGAAGGTACAGTAGCGTAAATTGTTAAGAAATTCACAAACTCGTGCTTGTTAGAAAGATGTTATGAGATTGCTTCCTCCCCGCAGTATCGCAATTCTAACATATAGCTGGTAAGCGCAAAAATCATCACATTTGCCTTTCTACCGATTCCCATCCGAATTTTTCCCGTTCGGAGAATTTAAATATTGTATATTCCAGACTTACTTTCGACTCCCAGTTTGTCTTTATGCATTAGAATTATTGTACGTGTTTACAGATTTGCGGTTGGAGAAGCACAAATATTCTCGACACTGGCTGGAGGGGGTAACACCGACAGGCATGTGGACCAAGTCAATTATGCAGTAAACAACCACTATTTGGCTAATGTATCACTCAAAGCAAAGTTTTTTTCAAATTGTAATAACTCTCTACCTCCGGCATAATTGTCTGTGTCTACATTCTCGTGAATGTTACTGCACTCGCTTGGGAAAATCAACTAAATTATTGCATTATATTACATTTGTATTTTTTTTTTCAAAATCAACTAACACGGAAATAAAAATATATGAGATGTAAGTAGGACAGCATGCATCTGATCGCAATATATTTATGTACATAAAAGTAATGGAAATTATATGCGTTATAACTTAGGAAAGAAGAAAGCTTCCTGTAAAACTTATGTTAGAGAGTAAAAAAAATTAAATGTTTAACAAGAATCAAGGAGAAAATTTGTAAAGAATAAGAAGGAAATAAGCTGAACACTTGTTAAGTACAAGTAGAACATGTCATATAAGATGAATACCTGTCAAATACAAGTATTCTCCTTTTAACTGACAAATATAAAACATACAAGAATTTTCAAGCAGAAGTGAAAAAAATAGAATAGTAATGTAAATATGCGAGGAGAAAAAAGAAAACATTATTGGACAGAAGGTAATTACCGGAATGGAAATTAATCAAATGTAGCAGAGACAAAGCGAGAATGTACAAATGTTGAAAAAAAAGTGAAAAAAAGAACGCCGGGGTCTAAAAAATATAAAAACAGAAACAATTGAATTTAACGTCAAATTCGAAAAAAATCTATAAATTTTCTGCTGGAGGTGGAGTTTTTGTGGCTTCTGCTGTGTTTCTGATCGTTTCCCCAGTAACTGATGGTGACGCGGTCTCCGCTTAAGGGTCTGCATAAATTTAAGTCACACACTCACTCAAGCACGAATAAAGTAGTATGCCAAAAAAAAAAAAAAAAAAGGTCTAAAACTGCAGCAATGCGTTGGAATAGAGAAAATTGTGGGCAAATCATCTGGAAACAAATTCCTCGCAGTTCATCCTGATTTCTGCCAAACAAACTTTTACCTTTTTTTTTTTTACTTTAAGAAAAAAATATTTTTTTTTCCGTATTAAATACCTCTTAATAAAATTGGAAATCAATAAACATCGATTATGAAAAGACACAGTAAAATATGCTTGAAGATTTTGGACGAATATCAAGAGACGAGAGAAAAACATCCCAGATGAGCATTTTTTGTTTCGTCTGTTTGAAAAGCCTAGTGAAACCGACACAATACTCCTAATTACCCACACTCTTTGTGGCATGTTAGTCCAATGATTAGTGGGAGAAGAAAGGATAACAAAACCTTCATTGTTTCCTTCTTGGGAACAACGGCTTGCAAGAATAAAGCCATCGAAGCAGAATCGTTCGCTAAGAAATATCATACATGGTATAAATATATGCGTATAAATATATGCAAAAATAGTGAACTTCCACGCGCTTTCGTGATTTCTCACATTATCACAGGTCCTTGATTTGAGAAATCACGAAAGCGCTTGGAAGTTTACTATTTCTCGCAGTGGTTATTTTACATATTGTCATATCACTCGTTTTCTGTGATTATATTATATATATATATATATATATATATATATATATATATATATATATATATAACAGAGGCCATTTCCCACCGAGGCAGGGTGACCCGAAACAGAAAAAAAAAACACTTTCATCACTATCAATATTCTGCCAGAGGCACTCCTCTGGCAAGACATTGATATGTGTGTGTGTGTGTGTGTGTGTGTGTGTGTGTGTGTGTGTGTGTGTGTGTGTGTGTGTGTGTGTGTGTGTGTGTGTGTGTGTACTCACCTAGTTGTACTCGCCTAGTTGAGGTTGCAGGGGTCGAGTCCGAGCTCCTGGCCCCGCCTCTTCACTGATCGCTACTAGGTCACTCTCCCTGAACCGTGAGCTTTATCATACCTCTGCTTAAAGCTATGTATGGATCCTGCCTCCACTACATCGCTTCCCAAACTATTCCACTTACTGACTACTCTGTGGCTGAAGAAATACTTCCTAACATCCCTGTGATTCATCTGTGTCTTCAACTTCCAACTGTGTCCCCTTGTTACTGTGTCCCATCTCTGGAACATCCTGTCTTTGTCCACCTTGTCAATTCCTCTCAGTATTTTGTATGTCGTTATCATGTGTGTGTGTTTGTGTGTGTGTGTGTGTGTGTGTGTGTGTGTGTGTGTGGGGGTGTGTGTGTGTGTGTGTGTGTGTGGGAAAGAGAGAAAGAGCGCGCACAACTTCCATTAAGTTTGTTCTGCAACAAACTTTCACCAACTTGTAAACTTTGCTGCAGTCATTTTAGCCAATCAGGTTACCGTTGTTAGCAAGTCCAAGGTCCTGGAGTCCAGTTCTTTGTTTTATATAATATATATATATATATATATTATATATATATATATATATATATATATATATATATATATATATATATAATGCAGTACATGGTGGCATTACATATATTTACAATGCGACACTAACGTATATACGTGTTTAAGATATTGTAAATTAAGCATAAATATTAAACAATGCTTACATTTATACACATATATGTATAGATACAACAATATAGACATATATTCACACAACATGTCTTCAAATATGAACAGAATAATATAGATGAACAAGTTTACATACAGTAAATGAAAGGCACAGTTCACATGTAAAGGCAATAAGTAGATTTTACAGCCGACATTGAATTCTGATAAAAGAAAAGTGTAAAACCAATTAAAAAAAGTTTCCTTCATACATGTAGACTTGACCCACTCATAGGTTTCAAGTAGCCCTGACCCACTCATAGGTTTCATGCAGGCGTAAGTCTTGCATAAATGTACAGCGTACTCACCAGTAAAGATAGGGCTTCTCCCTCTCGATGTTGACAGAGTTGATAGGGTCGAGACGAAACCAAGTGGTGAAGGTCCAGCCAGCTTCGTATGGCCAGCGGGCCAGAGGTGGCAGCACCAGCGCCTGGGAGAACAAACATGTTATTGTGTGTTTACTATATAGTCAGGGCGATTCACATTTTAATCTCACTGGATACACAGAAGAATGGACAGAGAGTTGCATCGTGGTTCTGACAGTTATGTACAACGCAGTGCCGCTGGGCTACAAAGCTTAAAATAGGAAGGTTTCACAAAGAGTACTGCAGTGCCATGTGTGGGTCAGTGGCCACTATCCGTGACTCAATTGTCCATCTAAAGCTAAAGATTTCCCTCCCCATGTGGCTTGTTCTGCATTGCTAAGATCTATCGCACCCTCATGCGTCGTCAGGAGCTTGCAATGTTGTAAGACAGCGAGAGATAGGTGGTGAAATTCTCTAAGGCAAGGCAGAAGTTATCAATGGCACCTGGGCTGCCACTGATGCCTTCTGCCTTGCCTCAGAGAATTTCCCCTTTTATCTGTTGCTGTCTTGCAACTGACGACGCACGAGAGTGCGAAAGATCTAGATTTTAAGTTTCATTTCCTTGTGGTTTATTCTGGTTATGGATGTGTGTTGTGTGTGTGTGAGTGGGTGGTGTGTGTGTGAGTGTGTGTGATGTGTGTGTGTGTGATTGTGTGTTGTGTGTGTATGTGGGTGGAGTGTTGGATGTGTGTGTGTGTTGTGTGTGTGTGTGTGTTTGTGTGTTGTGTTGTGTGTGTGTAGTGTGTGTTGGTGTGTAGTGTGTGGTAGGGATGTGATGTTTTGTTTGTTTTTTTAGTTTAGTTATTGGTGTTTGTGTTGGTGATGTGATAGTGTGTGTGGTTGTGTGTGTTTTGTTGGATGTTGTGTGTGATGTTGATGTGTATGTGTTGTGTGTGTGTTATGTGTAGTGTTTGGTGTTGTGTGTGTGTGTGTGTGGATGTTTGAGTGTAGTGTGTGATTGAGTTTGTTGTGGTGTGTGTAGTGTGTGTTGTGTTGTTGTTGTGTTGTGTGGTGTATGTTTGTGTTGTGTGATGTGTGTGTGTATGTGTGTGTGTTGTTGATGTGTGTTGTGTGTGTGTGTGTGTGTGTGAGTTGTTGTGTGTGTGATGTGATGTGGATGTGTTTGTGTGTGTTAGTGTGTGTTGTGATGTGAGTGATGTGTGTGTGTTGTGTGTGTGTGTTGTGTGTGTGTTTGTGTGTGTGTGAGTGTGTGTATGTGTGTTGAGTGTGTGTGTGTAGTGTGTGTTTATGTTTTGTGTGTGTGTAGTGTGTGTAGTTTTTGTGTGTGTGTATTAGTGAGTGTGTGTTTGTTGTGTGTGTAGTGTGTGTGTGTTAGTGTGTGTGTATGTGTGTAGTTTTGTGGTATGTGTGTAGTGTATGTTGTGTGTTAGTGTGTGTGTAGTGTGTGTATGTTATGTGTTGTTGTGTAGTGTGTGTGTGTTTGTGTTTATTAGTGTTTAGTGTTAGTGTTTGTGGTGTGTGTGAGTATATGTGTGAGATGTGATTTGGTATGTGTATTGTTCGTTAGTGTGTTGTTGTGAGTGATGTGTGTAGTGTAGTGTGTTGTTGTATTTTGTGTTGTAGTAGTGTGATGTGTTATTGAGTGTGTGTGTGTATTGGTGATGTTGTTTATTGTGTTATTGTTATTTTGATGAGTGTGTGTGTTTTTATGTAGTTATATATATGATAGATATATATTTGTTATAGAGTGTATATACAAATATAGTTTATATATATTAGTATAATATTATGATATATATTTTATATATATAATATATATTATATAATATACAATTATTTTAGTATAATAAATATATATTTGTTTATATTATTTTATATTAACAAAATTATATATTATATACAAATATATTATATATAATATTATATAGTGTATATATTTAATATACAAATATATATTATCAATATATTTGTATACAAATATTTTAGATAGTATTTTAAATAATTTATATATTATAGACAATATATGTTATATATATCAAATATTATATATATATTTACAATTTTATATTAATATACAAATATTTATATATAGTATTATATATACAAATATATATTTTATATACAAATATTATTATATGTATAAAATATATATATATTTTATATATATATATATATATATTTATATATATATAATATTTGTTATATAGTATACAAATATATTTTATTATATTTATATATATATATATACAAATTATATTATATTATTTACAAATTATATATTATAATATATTTACAAATTATTATATAGTTAATAGTCAATATATATTTTATGACAAATATATATATTTATTTTACTAAATATATATATATATACAATATATATATATATATGACAAATATATTGATATTATTACAAATATATATATATATATATATAAAATATATATATATATAATATATATATATATATATTTTATATGAGTATGATATATTATATTATAGTGTATATTTATTAAAATATGTAATTATTTTATATATATATATATAAAATATATATTATAATAATATGTATGTGTCATGATGTTTTTGATATTAGTATTATTTGTAATATATATATACGTTATATATATACAAATATAGTGTGTACTTTTATATTATATATACTTATTTTATATTTATTATGTATTCAATTTATTTATATGTATATATATACAATTCTATTTATTTTTTATTATGTTATTATGATTTTTGTATTATCATTTATTATATATCAATTCTATATATATCTAAATATATATATACAATTATTATTTACAAATATATTATATAAATATAATTATTATATATATAATATATATATATACAAATATATTTTAATATATATTACAAATATATATATATACAATTATTATATGATATTATATATTTATTACAATTATATATATTATATTATCAATATATATATTATATTACAAATATATATTATATAATATACAATTTATATATTAGTTTTTACAAATTATATTTATACAATATATATATATATATTTTATTTACAATATATATTTATTTTATATATATTATTGATATATTATAAATATATATATATATATTATATTATACAATATATATATATATTATATATAAATATAGATATTATATATATATAAAATTATATTTATAGTTATTTTATACAATTTTTTATATTATACAATATATATTAATATATATATATTATATATTTTACAAATTATATTTTTATCATATATTATATACAAATATTTATAATATATTATAATTATATATATTATTTATATATATACAAATATATATATATTTATAATATTCAAAATTATAAAATATATATTATATATATTTATATATATATATATATATACAATAATTTATTATATATATATTATATAATATAAATATATATTTATATATATATATACAAATTATATATATATATATTAATACAATTATTTATAATATATATAAATATATATATACTAATATATATAATAATATATATAATATAATTAAAATATTATATACAAATATTATATATATATACAATATACAAATATATATATATATATATATATATATATATATATATATATATATATATATATATATTATATATATATATATATATATATATATATATATATACATACACGTATATATATGCAAAACAACCACTCTGAAAGAATAGAGAAATTCCAAGCACTTTCGTGACTACTCACATTATCAAGGAACTATGAAAGTAAAGCATCCAAGGAAGCTATATAAGGGGTCTGGCCGGCACCTCACTATCAGATCCCACAACGGTTAAACACCTGACACGCGCCGGCCCAACTGGACAGGTCCTTTTTAAAAAATTAAGTCGAGTTTTTAACTTGTGGGACTTGATCAGTGCAGAAGAAAACTGTGAAACAAAAGATATATTCTTTCAGAGTGGTTGTTTTGCATATTCTGAAATCACCTGTTTACTGTGATCTTATTGCATTAATGGATACCACACGACTCTTCAGAATGTTCTCGATAAGCTTTCCTAATCATATATCTTTTGTTTCACAGTTTTCTTCTGCACTGATCAAGTCCCACAAGTTAAAAACTCGACTTAATTTTTTAAAAAGGACCTGTCCAGTTGGGCCGGCGCGTGTCAGGTGTTTAACCGTTGTGGGATCTGATAGTGAGGTGCCGGCCAGACCCCTTATATAGCTTCCTTGGATGCTTTACTTTCATAGTTCCTTGATAATGTGAGTAGTCACGAAAGCGCTTGGAATTTCCCTATTCTTTCAGAGAGGTTGTTCTGCATATTCTGAAATCACCTGTTTACTGTGATCTTATATATATATATATATATATATATATATATATATATATTATATATATATATATATATATATTATTATTATATATATATATAATGTCGTGCCGAATAGGCAGAACTTGCTATTTTGGCTTAAATAGCAACGCTCATCTTGCCATATAGGACAAGTGAAAATTTGTGTATGCAATAATTTCGCCAAAATCATTCTGAACCTAACGAAAAAAATATATTTCACTGTCTTTGTTTAGTATTAAATTAATGTAAACAAATCTAAAATATATATAGTTGGGTTAGGCTAAAATAAATTGTTCTTGTTATCATAAGGTTAGGTAAGTTTTTTAAGATTCTTTTGGTGCAAAATTAAATATTTTTACATTAACATTAATGAAAAAAATATATCTTTAAACGGATAAGAGGAAATTTTAGAAAGGACTTAATTTTAATTGAGTTCTTGCTAATTGACCAGTTTTACTATTCGGCACGAATATATTATATATAATATATTATATATATATATATATATATTATATATATATATATATATATATATATATAATTATATATATTATATATATATATAATATTGCATTACTATCAATAGGTACTAATAAATATAAAATCCCCAAAGTAATAATATTATAATTATACTATTATATATATAATAATTTTTTAAGTTTAATATATATAATTTAAAGTATATATATAAAATATATATATTATACTAAATTCCAATAATCATAATCAAGTGCGGCATGTACTTCC